CCTTCAGACCTGGGTGCTAGGGTTCTAGGCCAATTATGGACCCCTTTAAGCCTCACTGCCTCATCTGTAAAATGGGAATGACAGGCTTAGCACTCAATACATATTCAGCTGCCTTTAAAAAATGTTTTTATTGATTTCAGAGCAGAAGGGGAAGGGAGAAGGAGAGGAAGATAGAAACATCAATGATGACAGAGAATCATTAACTGACACCCCCCCGCCCCCCAACGGGACCCCAACCAGCAATTCGGACATGTGCCCTGTACATTTTTTAATGAATACATTCATACTCTCAGATTCGAATTCAATTTCTTTCTCAAGGTTGGACAAGATGAAATTGTTTTGTTTTGTCTTCACTTATCCCTTGTCTTCTGGGAGGACCTGGGCGTGGCTCTCAGGATGCTATGGGATCCAGAACCCGACTTGCTCTGAGGAAGAACATGGAATCCCAGGGTTTGGACTGGTCTGGGGTTTAAAAGGCAGCCCAAAGTTTAGCATGATGCTCTGAACCTGATCAAGCGGAAAATCTCTTTCTTCCTAGCTCCTCCTTTCCTATGATGCCATCACCATGGGCAGAGCTGTTGACATTTTTAGCTGCTCCCTTTCAACCTGATTTACTGCCTAGGGGTCAAGTACAACAGTTTTTGTTTCAGTATTTATTTATATAAACTAGCAGTTTGACCTGTAGAGCTACCACATCCATATGTCAGGTTAAATTCATGACATGAGAGTTTTGAGAATAAATCCTGTTCTGGTTGCTTCCAGAGGAGGCATCAGGAAAAAAGGCCCCTGAACTAAGGGTTGGGACCAGCATGGGTCCTAATGCCCCCTGCCCCAAGTAAGTGTGGGGGAATAATTTTTTATCTCTTAACCACAAATGTTAAAATTATAAAGGCTGCTGGTTGATTGGGGTATAATAGCTAAGTTTTTTTTCTAGCTGTGATTAACTATCACTACCCTACTTTTAACCATGGATGAGTTTCTGAAAGTTGAGGCACTCCTCGAAAGGCAAACCCAGCAACTTTCTAAGGAGTTTTTAAAGAGATTAAAGTTAATTGATTAATTTATATTTTTCTATCCAGAAAACATTTTACTCCAACAAGAAGCCAGGCACGACCTTAAGTAATGGAAACACACAGCTGCCAATCCTGGCCCCCAGGGAGCTCATAGTCTGGTGGAAGGGGCAGCCAATATAAGTCTCTAATTGAATTATGCAGGGTTTACCATGAGATCCCCAAAGAGGGAACAGATTCTAAAACAGGCTGGACAGTCAGGGAAAGCATCACCCGCAAGATACCCAGTGAGCTGGAACTTGGTCAATGAGTAGTTTTTGCCAACGTGAAAAGGGCCTTCCAAGTCGAGGAGAAAATTTTCCAAAGGCATGAAGGCAAGAGTAGGCTGGACTTCAAAGATGGCAAGAACATTTGCATGGCTGGAGCAGAAGGCTGCCAAGGCGAGCCCAGTGGGACAGGATTCCTGATAAACAGCAGAAGCTGGATCGGGAAGGAGTTCATACATCCTACCGAGAATTCTGGAGTTCATTCCGAAGGGCACAGAGCGTCCTCGACGGTTGTAAGTAAAAGAGCAAACGAGTCAGAGTTGAGTTCTAGCACACGCACTCCCCCAAAACAGGGAGGATGAGCTGATGGAAGAACGGAAGAAGACTTGGAGAAGCGGGGACCGGTTGGGTGAATCAATACGATGAGAGAAGCCCATAACTTGCAGAAAGGAAGACAAGACTAGGAGCAGGTTTTGTTGGGGGGAAGTTCAAGTGCACAGAGTTAGATCTGAGGTTTGAGGCTCTCAAGTTTGATGGGGACACCCAGGGACAGATGTCTACCAAGCAGCTAAGAAAATAGACTTGTGGCTCAGGGTAGGGCTAGACACAGAGATGTGGGAATGGTTGGCCCACCTCTAAGGAGATGTTAAAAGTGAAAATGTTCTGACACCGCTAACAAAAATACAACAACACAAGTAAGAAAATAACAGTAGGAAGGGGACAAATAATTTCCGTAGGCTTCTTTCCAATGACAGTATTTCCTATATCTTCAGGGATAAACATTTCTTCCTCATAGCCAATTTCCAGATTATATCATAACAGGTAAGTAGAGTATAGGTTGCAGTATTATTAAATATATACATGCATATGGCCCCAGCCAGTGTGGCTCAGTTAGTTGGAGTGTTGTCCTGTACACCAATAGGTTGTGGGTTTGATCCCCTGTCTGGGCTCATGTGGGAGGGAACCGATCTATGTTTCTCTCTCATATCAATGTTTCTCTCTCAAAAAAAAAAATCAATGTGTATATACATTCATCTGCATGCATATGTGTGATGTGTGTGTATTATGTATATTGTGTGTGTGTGTGTGTGTCCTTCCTCATTCTAAGAAAAGATGGTACATTAGCACGAACCAGGTGAGTTGCCCAAGAAAAGCTAGGCAAAGATGAAGTCCTCTTCATATAGTTTTAGTTTGTGGTCCCAGTTATGCAGGAATTTCCCCTATGCCATTGAAAGAATGTGCTTGGTGCTGAGGACTGGGTATCAGGCAGACAACATAGTTCTTACTTTAGAAGTGCCACTGTTCGGATAAAGAGCCTGAGAACCAGAACGGCTGCCAGAAATAGCAGGGCGAATTCACCCACTTCCAAGAAGGTCGCCCAGTCTCAGAACAGGGGGCAGGAGATTGAAGCAGATTCTTGGCGCTGCCACTGCCCTGTCTGTTGCGTAACTTACGGCTCTTAGTTCCCATGATTGAGAACACTGGGGTGTTGACCGGGCATTTTCTGTTCCTCTCTCTTAGGCCATTTTCCAGCTGTGTCAAAATCATCACTCTTATCAGGTGACCTTCCCTAACAGGTCAGCCTTCCTTCTGTTTGTCATAGCTACCTGTTGAGAATCTGATTTTTAATGAACAATTATAACCCAAAGAGCTGTCATCTGTCAGGTCCTAAATGTTTGTTAAGAATAGCAGTCCCAGCCCCGCTGGTGTGGCTCAGTAGTTGAGCATCGACCTAGGAACCAGGAGGTCAGGGTTCAATTCCCAGTCCGGGTACATGCCTAGGTGGTGGGCTCGATCCACAGTGTGGGGCATGCAGGAGGCAGCCGATCAATAATTCTCTCTCATCATTGATGTTTCTCTTGCTCCCTCTCCCTTCCTCTCTGAAGTCAGTAAAAATATTTTTTAAGAAAAAAAAAAAGAAGAAGAGCCCCAGACATATAGTCATTATACAAGAGAAAACCATAAACAATAGGAAAAGCAAGTGACAGCAGATGTTCATTGCTTCCAAACTCATTACCACACCTTCAGCTGAGGAAGATAGGGGCGGAGTCTGTGGCGAATCACAAGGACGTGGCCTTAACAGAAGCAGTGCTGACCCACAGGGAACGGCACCCCTATGGACAACCTGTTCATGGTAATAACTATAGCTATTCTTTCTCTCTCTCTCTCGCTCTCTCTGCCTGTCCTAGAGCAGGAATTGGAAAAATAGGATAATATCTCAGG